TATTAGTGATCGTAGCAGTTGGAGTCATCGAAGCCGCATTCCGACTTTGTCTATTTTGTTCCTATCGATCCTGCTAATCTCCTCATTAGTATGAGGATACTCACGATACTCATGTACTGCATTGGATACTGCTCAGTACCTGTAACGGTCATATGCCCTCGTGTTGAGACGTGTTGGTAGTACCTGCTTGCGGTGGTTATACGTAGAATTATGTTGGCTATTCGTAGTAATTCAGAACTCCTTGTGTTGAAAGTGAGGAAATCGGTATGATCTCTGTACTTGGTACAGCCTGTTGATACGCATATGGAGACGGAGCTATGATAGGCTACATGTAGAATCATGTTCCGCAGCTTATCAGAGACGTGAGTGTCAAGCAATGAGCGTACTCAATCGTGCTCACTCAAAACTCAACAGCACACGAAAAAGTCAGGTTACGGAATCATGAGCCTCGATCTGTCACTTCAATCATCTATTGATTCTGATTACTGATCTTCAATTGCGATGCACGATTCAGATCGACAGTGAACAGTCTTTCATAATTCGGGCAACACAACGAAGATTGTGTATGTATACACACCGAATCTTATGTACTGAAGCAGAGAATGAAGATAAACGGAGAGCGTACTTGACCGGTTCCATTCTCTCGGTGGAGGATTCTCTTGCTATTGTTACGAAAATTCCGACCGTTTGCTCATCTAATTTGAGTCAGTTCTTAACCCATATACTTCCCACCGCATATACTATGAATATTCGAACGAAATAAGTGTATTGAACAAAATTGAACCGACGGCAACTAACAGACAAACGCACTCCATTACCTGAAAGCAACAGCAGATCGAAAATACTTTCGAGATTCTCTACAGTTGATCCTCACCAGTTATCGTCAACACAACGCAAATAATCTAAGAAAAAGAGATCATAGTTATCAACTTTGTGAGAATCGGAAAGCAAGTTACATAGAATTACATTGTGCGCACAAAGAGGAGCAGAGGATAGTTGGAACGTGGTGACCAACAAAATGAACCTACATAGCTCTGTAAAGCTACAGCGTAAGACAGAAGAGATGAAACAGCAACTTACAACAATAGCAATCATGAAACATCCGAAAAATATTAAAATGAAACATACCACACATTATACATCGACCTCGACCTTATTCTTCTCGACATTCTCAAGCTCAGCTTCCAACTTCCTAGCCGCGTTCTTGGCGGCGACCCTGTTGAAGTACGGAATCATCGACACCGCAGCGACTGCACCGAATATACACAATGCTATCAATACCATATAGTAGAAGTCGTAGTGTGCACCACTGACAGCATCCTCAGTTGGATTCTCAACATCGAAATTGGGAAGCCAATCAGAGCATAGTTGGAAAAGGACCGCCGAGAGAACATTAGAAATAGAGAAGAAGCAAAGGTTGAAGGCTGAAGCAACTGCCTTCAATGCTCCCGGAGAGTGGGTGAATGCGACTTCGTAAGAAGTTGAAATTAGGAAGATCTCACCAGCAGCAATCAACCAGAACTGCGGAATCTGCCACCAAATGGAGACAGAGAAGACAGGCTTCGGCATAACCATATACTCCACACCAAGAGCCACGAGTAGGGACGCCGCGCCACACAATGAACCAATGCAGAAACGTACCAGAACTGGTGGCATTAGGTTGTGCCTCTTCAGAGAGGGAACAACACCGTATCAACCAAAACACTAGTCAAACCACGGCAATAGGATCCACGTTCTGCATCATCTGAGCCGGCATCTCCCAT